AGAATGGAAGCGAACTCACAGGCAAAGCCACAGCCTCTGCTCCGGTTATAGAAGATGTTTACTCTTATCTCTCTGGAAAGACATTTGAGGGAATGAGAGGCAAAGTTAACGACAGAATACTTGAAGCAATCAAGAAAATGGGGTTCACCTCTATGACTGAGGTTCAAGCAAAGTGTATAGAGCCACTTCTTGAGGTGATTAAAAATCGTGCTTTCTTTTTATTTTCTCCATGTTTTGTATGTAATCACTCTGTTTAATATACAAAGTTTGATTTGTTTCTTTAGCACTTCATTCACCTTCTCTTTCCTCAATTGGCCTCTCTTCTTTTGCAAACTATACTTACCTTTAGGGTCGTGATGTCTTAGCATCAGCGAAAACCGGTTCGGGAAAAACATTGGCGTTTTTGATTCCTGCTATTGAGCTTTTACTAAAACTAGATTGGAAACAGTACAATGGAACGGGTGTGATTATTGTGTCGCCAACGAGGGAGCTATCGATGCAGACTTATGGTGTATTAACAGAGCTTTTGGAAGGTAAAGTTTGGTTTCATCATTTTTCGTTCGAAAATATATGGGGTTGAAGTCATAAGTTTAACGGCATTCCGTTCTCAAGCGGATTTCCTCATCGTAATTGATTTAGTTCGAATTTTGAACTTGTAGCATAAGCTTCTACTCACGCACGCTAAATGATTAAGGGTTTACTTTAGGCACTTCTCTCACCCATGGCTTAGTTATGGGAGGCTCTAACCGGAGTGCTGAGCAGGACAAGTTGGCTAAGGTATATTTTATTCCTCTTCGCTCCATCTATTTTCATTCAGGTTCAAAATTTCTAAAATGGACGTTACCTTTCAATAGTTCTAATTCTATGTCTAGAGACTCAAACATTAGCACTAGTTTAGGGTATCGCAGTTCTGGTGGCAACTCCTGGTCGTTTGCTAGATCATCTCCAAAATACCGATCCTTTTGTTATCAAGAATCTCAAATGTCTCATTATTGATGAAGCTGATAGAATTCTGGATATTGGATTTGAGATTGAAATGCAGCAGGTGTGATAGGATTACCGAAATTGGAGATCTTGTGTTCATGAATGCGTTTAGATTCTTCGCCATCTGCCTAAAAAGAGGCAAACAATGCTTTTTTCGGCCACTCACACACCGAAGGTGGGTATTGGCCTGTATTACCTGTTGTCACTTTGTTTCCTGAATTCCTATTAGGCGTGGTCTTTTCCTTGCTCACATGTAGATGTGCTATTCAGGTAGACGAACTTGTGAAGCTTTCACTCCACTCAGATCCTGTGAAATTGTCTGTTTCGGAGAAAGATGAAGTTGCTACGGTGGAAGGGTTGCAACAGGTTAGTC